GGGACAACAGAGTGAAATCCTGTCTTTAAAAAAAATTTTTTTTTTTCTTTTGAGACCGAGTTTCGCTTTTGTCCCCCAGGCTGGAATGCAATGGGATGATCTCGGCTCACTGCAACCTCCACCTCCCATGTTCAAGTGATTCTCCTGCCTCAGCCTCCTGAGTACCTGGGATTATAGGCACATGCCACCACACCTGGTTAATTTTTGTATTTTTAATAGAGACGGGATTTCACCATGTTGGCCAGGCTGGTCTCAAACTCCTGACCTCAAATGATCTGCCCACCTCAGCCTCTCAAGGTACTGGGATTACAGGTGTGAGCCAGCACACCCAGCCTGATTTTTTTTTTTCTTAAAAAAAAAAAAAAACCAATTCAGATGTCCATCAACAGAAATGAAGATGTAAAAGTGATGGTGTGTACACGTGGTGGATATGTGTGCAATGACCATGGCCACGTACTGTGATATGAGTTAATCTCGCCACGTAACTGTGAGCAGAGCAGCCAGACACCATGCAGCAGCACCAGAAGCCTCCATTCTTGTAAAGGCACAGCCAGCACATAGTGTCAGAAGTTGGGACAGAGGGGAATATGGGATGGAGGAGGTTGTGCCTGGTTAGGGCCATGGGGGCAGGTCTGTTTCTGGGTGACAGTGGCTAGCGGGCATGTCACTTAGTGAAACTGTGTCAGACCATGTAGAACAGGTGCACACTGGGTGTGCAGTGCACTTCAGTGACATTTTCCTAAACTTGCAGCCCACATGTGAGCACGTTCAGCATTCCAGCCACCCCACGGCCCTTCTCCAAGTTACCACTGGAAACCCACACACCAGTTTTTTTTTTTTTCTTAGATGGAGTCTCCTTCTGTCGCCAGGCTGGAGTGCAGTGGTGTGATCTCAGCTCACTGCAATTTCCACCTCCCAGGTTCAAGTGATTGTCCTGCCTCAGCCTCCCAAGTGCTATAGGTGCGCACTGTCACTCCCGGCTAATTTTTGTATTTTTGGTGGAGATGGGGTTTCACCATGTTGGCCAGGATGGTCTCGATCTCTTGACCTCGTGATAGGCCTGATTTGGCCTCCCGAAGTGCTGGGATTACAGGTGTGAGCCACTGCACCTGGCCCACCACTTTTTCTAATGAAGGAGTTTTTGTCACTGTCCTCTGACAGGTAAGGAAACTGAGGCTCAGAGGTGAAGTGGCTTGGCCAAGGTCACACAGCATGGTGCCTACCCTGGCAGGATAATTTGTAGACAGTGCAGCCAGTCCCAACAGGACCAGGAAAGAGCTGTGCCCCAGGGCCGGGTTCTTTCTTTCACAGTGAATGACAAGCAACTGAAGTATGCCAGCCAGCCCAGCTCCCTGGGCGGCAGAGATCATTTATAGGAGGACTTCTAAATAAAGTGCCCTGGGGAAGCAAGCTCTAAATGTCCTCTTACGAGAAGACATTAGGTGAGACCAGACTGACCGCAGTGTCCCTATCAGCACTGCCCTCATCCCGGGGGGTCACCTAGCATCTTACTCCCCCACCCCCACACTCCAGTTGATATCACTTCTGTAATCAGGGAAGTCTCTGAGCCCTTTTTCTGGGAGCGCATTTCCGAGTGGCCAAGGAGCTGTGGATTACAGGAGCACCGGCCACACAGAGCATGCCCCAGCTCCCGGCCCAGAAGGTGGAAAGTACCTTGTCAGGTTTGGGCTCGTGAGTGAAATCTGTCAAGCAGTGTCTTTGGCACTGGGGCAAAGTCAGGACGAGGTGGCTTCCCTCTTGATCACTACAGCAGCTGTCTATGGCTGACTGCCCCCAGGAGCCTGCTTCGTTTGGGATTTTTTTCTTAAATATTTTTATTAGTATTTCAAACATACAGGAAAAAACAAATGTTTTCCATTGATCTTGATAGCAAAATACCTTTAGATCCACACACCAAGATGAAGAGCACCTTGTGTCTTGGATAGAAGTAACGAGCAGATGCAGGCAGCTCGCAGGCACTCTGGGCCGGAGGAGCTGAAACTGCCAGGCCAGGTGGAGTGGGTAGGCACCGCTCAGGGGAGCTTCATCTCTCTGCTTCCAAAATCAATGTTTTCTGGAGTTTCACTTTCACCCTCCTGGGCAGGGGTAACCTTACCTGTGGAGGAGAGGGCGAGGGCTCAGGGGGCGCTGGGGTGGCATGAGAGGGCCGAAGACCTTGGCAGACACGGTGGGCTTGGCAGCAGGGCAGTGGGTTAAAGAGGAAGCTTAGCCAAGCCCAGTGGGAGCTGATTTGACAGCAGTGCCCTTAGCAGCTTGATTGTGCGGATTTTCAGGGCTATTGAGCTCAAGTGTACACGCAAACTGGAAAGAATCGCTTTGTTGGGTTTTTTCAAATGATAAAAGCATAATGACAGCATATCCACTCCTTTGAAGGCGCCCCCCACCCTGGTGTTCTTTATCTCAGGTTTCTCCATCAAGGTTAACCTAATCCTGCTCAATTAATAGCCAGCCACTGCGTACCCAAAGAGCCCGTGGAAGTGTGCAGGGTGGCCCAGCCTGGGCGTTCTCCAAAGTAGTAACCGTGGGTGGCTCCTTGCTCAGGGTACAGAAGTTGGCAAGTGATGGGTGGCCAGGAACCTCGCTTCGGGGCGCCCCTCTGCCCTCAGCCTGTGTTTCGCCTGGTCTCTGGTGAGCACGTTCTCCAACTGCTTTGCGTGAATGAGCCAAGGGAGGGATTGATCTAACTTACTGCCTCCCCTCCCTCGAGCCTCTGACACGAGTTTGAAGTGGATGCTCTGCCCAGCCCCGGGACTGCAACCACTCCCGGCTGAGCACGGGCTCTCCCTGGGGCAGAGAAGTTGTTTTTCCAAATGCTTCTTGTTCTTAGGAAACCTGGGAAAGGGCAGCCGAGTGGAAGAGGAAAGCACACCCTGTATTGAGCACACTTGCAGGTGAGAGAATCTGTCCATCCACCCTGTGCCAGGGCCATCCTTACAGCAAGGACCCCAGGGATATGTCCATACCCATCAATGCCATGTTAGCAAGCGGTGACAACATCCCTCTGTAGGAGGCATCCTGAACCACTCTGTCCTCGGGCAGTGGCAGGGCCAAAGGAAACAGTGTGCCCTGCTCCTCGCCGTCCCCCGCCCCCCGCCCCCAGGAATCATTGGCTTATCCCCATACAGCCACCCTAAGATTCAGGGCACATGCACCAAGCCCGGGGCCTCTGTTTCTGTGTGGGAAGTGGTGAGGCGCTCCCGGAGAAGGCAGCAGCTTTAATACTGGGAGATGTTCTGACTCCAGTGTTCGCTCCCATCTCAGCACCCATTCTGCTCCCAGTCAGGTTGGTTCTTTGTGGCTCAGATCTGTCACCTCTTAATGAAGTAGCTTTCTGGCTGCCAAGGATTGAGAGCTGCTACTGGGAAGTGTAAGTCACTAATAGCATGGAAAACACTGTGAAATACTCCAAGGTGCCAAGCTGGGCCCAGCCCACCGTGGTTCTAAAAGGCTAATAAAAATCCACCAATTAATTGTGACAGCTCAATGGGAAATTATTCAATTGTGAACAGGGGCAAGCTGCAGCTCAGGAGGAGGAGGGGAGAGGTTGCCATAGTAACATCAATGTAAGTTCTCATCTCAGCCGCAGAAGCCAGCCGTGGAGTAAGCCTCATCCCACTGCCGCCTCTGACACGGGATGGGATGTCAGAGATACCAAAGCCGCATTTGAAATGGATGCTGTCCCTGGCCCCGGGCCTGCAGCCACTTCTGACAGTGTGTGCTCTCCCGAGGGCAGAGAAGTTGTTTTCCGAACGCTCCTTGTTCTTAGGAAACCTGGGAAGGGGCAGCTGAGTGGAGGAGAAAAGCACACGCTGCACTGTGTTCCTCCGAACCTTTGACCGACAGCCGGTTACGGGGATCTAGGGGAGGAGTGTTTGGGTCCAGGCGACAGGAGCTCCATCTCCTTGTAGGCAAGGCGCCCCGAGCTCGCACTGTGGGGAGGCCAGCATTCCAGTCTGGTTTTGCAGTTGTCACGACTTTTATTTCCAAAGATACACACGACATATTCTGATTTTGAACATGTGAAATGCAACCTTGCTCTAGCAAAAACGTATTCCTTCCCAGTTCAACTCCCAGGAGACTCCCGGCCGGGCTGACACTGGTCAGCGGAGAAGGGCCATCAGAGGGGGAGGCACACCACAGCTTCTTGCTGGGGGTATCCTGTGCTAATGGGATGGAGAAGGGGACTGGGTTCTTCTTTCCCATTTTTAACTTTCAGAACCATCCTCTGTACCCAGTGGAACGTCCTCATTCGCAGTTGACCTCTGACATCAGCCACAGTCGTCCCTACGGAGACTATCACAACTTCGATTACCCAACTGTAAGCACGCACCCCCCTGCCGCTGCCTCACTCTGCCCTTCATATTCAAGGCCCCCAACACAGCCTCAGCTCTGTGCCCCTGGGGCCAGGGGGCAACTGGGAGTCAGAGTCCCGGGCGAAGAGAGAGGCTGGGGTGACCGAGGTGCCAAGGCACAGCCTCCTTTTTTCCCCCCCATTTTTAAGACGGGTTTATTATGCATAAGTAAATAGTCATGCAACCACCAGAAAAATTTGGATTCATTGATATTGCTGAGTAAAATATAAGACCGTAAAAAGAGTAAGGCTAAATTACAATAGCAGAATAAGGCGAAATCACAACAGCAACATAAGGCTTAATCACAATTTGGAACTTCAGTACGACACAGACTTTTCACTTTCTGTAGTGTGACCCTGTTAGAAATAAGAATAACGTTAAGGTGACTTTCTTCTAACAGTAAATTTCCTTTTATACTTTAGGTTCCTTTTTGACACTGCCTAGTTTTTTGCTTCAGCAAAGTTGGAGATCAAAGGTCAGCACACACCTAACCCGTCCTACCGTGTCGTTACGGTGGCCATGCCTACACGATCTTGGGGGCGTGGTCTTTGAGACCTGGGGAGAAGGCAGGAGTGACAACAGTGGGGTGAGTCCAAGAAGCAAACCCTTCCACGATGCCCTGGCCCTTCACCGCCGACCGAAGCGGAAGCTGAAGCCGCCCTTCTTTCTGCTGTAGCCATTGAGCTCCTCAGCCAGGTTCCCTAACGGGCCACTGGCCTTGTCCCCCTCAGCGGGGAGGAAGCCGGTGGCTTCACTGTCTTGGTCCTGCCTCCTGAAGTGGAATCTGTGGCCAGCATGCTCTCTGCCCGACATCTGCAGCCCCTTGGCCATGACTAGCAGGGCCTGTGGCCGTGATGCTCTCAGCCACTGAGAGGAGCCCCACACGAAGTGGGGTTGGGGCCCCTTAGCCAGGTTGGCCCAGCTCCCTCCAGCTCCGATGCCACCCATGGTGTCTGTGGGCTCTCTTCTGTCCAGCAGAGGAAAGCAGGTGCCCAGCTGCAGGAGGAGGAGGTAGGCCAGGGGGTAGGGCCTTACCATCTGACCCAGAGGAAAGAGAGGCAGAGTTACAGGCTGCACACGTGCCACACGTCACTCATCCACAATGCTCCCCTGGCCAGGCCACCAAGGTGTAGCTGGGTGCCCAGCTGAGCCTGGCTTCCGAGCTGGGACTAGGCCACTGTTTTATTAGCAGGATCAGGAGGTGATTGGTACCAATTAGGCCAGTTCTTCTGCAGCTCCCATGATCTGCCTGTCTGGGCAGCTTCACACTGTAAATCCAACGGCTGCTGGATGGCAGAGCGATGCCCAGACGGCCCCGGGAGAGTGAGCGAATTCACGCTCATTTTTCTCTTATTATAAAATGGCCATATCATTGCAGAGCCGTAAGGTGGAAAGTTAAAAGCATCAATCTCCCTTCGTTTTTAACTTGATAATAAATGGGTCTAGCTATTCTGTTTAGCTGGGACACCTTTCTGATGTCTCTTTCACATGGGAACGAGTTGCTCCTGAAAGCCAGGAACAGATTTGATGGTCCTGACTTAATTCGGACACCCACCTGGGAGGGAGCATGCGGGCACAGCTGGGTCCTGGGCACCAGGTCTGCCAGGCTCTGAGCTAAGAGTTCACACGTGTGATTGTACTTCATCTTCATAGTAATCCTGCTGGGTAGGTCCTGCCAGTCCCACTTTTCAGGCAACGAAACTCAGAGAAGCTGAGATTGTGCCCAGGACACAGCTAGAAAGTCAAGGCTCTGAATTCACGATTCTTTTTTTTTTTTTTTTTTTTTTTTGAGACGGAGTTTCGCTTTCGTTGCCCAGGCTGGTTAAGGTGACTAGGCTCACCACTACCTCTGCCTCCTGGGTTCAAGCGATTTGCCTGTCTCAGCCTCCCAAGTAGCTGGGATCACAGACATGCACTACCACCCCCAGCTAATTTTATATTTTTAGTAGAGACAGAGTTTCTCCATGTTGGTCGGGCTGGTTGGTCTTGAACTCCCGAACTCAGGTGATCCTCTCACCTTGGCCTCCCAAAGTGCTGGGATTATAGGCATGAGCCAGAGCCACCGCGCCCGGCCCAAATTCAGGATTCTAATGGCCCAATGGCGTCTTCAAGAAGCATACATGTCTGGTAGGGTCCTCCCCACCCTCCCATTTCACGGGGGTGGCATCAGGCTCAAACAGCTAAGGTGACTCATGGCCTTTTCAGTGCCAGAGCTGGAGGTCAACCCCAGATCAAACTGGGCTGGACTCAGGAAGGCATGCCCTAACTCCCCACCCCACTCCGCTCCACGTGGCACTCTGGGGATCTGAAACTCAGCCTCCTGCAGGGCACCTAGCTTCGTCACATTTGCTCTCTTGCCTGGCAAAGGAAGCCTTTTTGGTAATGACCGCGGGGGAACTGGAGCTGGCTTGTCCCCTGCTGAGTCAAACTGAAGCGAGAATAGAGAGTGCCAGCCCTGGAGAAGACAGTGCAGGAGTCCCCAGAGCCCTTTCCAGAAATGGCTCCCTTGAACGCATTTCAAAGAAGTGAGCTCAGCCAGGAAGCTTTTAGGAACATAATAAATGCAACTCCACTTGCTACCCAAATCCAGAGCTAAGCTCCCCGAGTTCTCCAGGGGTGGAGTGACCTCTCTCACATGCTTTCCATCACAACCTTTCCATCAGGGCCCAGGCAGAGTGGGGGCCTTCCACGAGGTGGTTTTCTGCAGGGGCCCAGCCCCATTCCCTCCTCCTCGGAGGAAGCACTTTGCTGCCTGGTGGAGAGCGTTTCTGTTCTGGTGGATAAATCCACTGGGGAGTGGGCTTGGGTGTCTAGAAAGGAGACACCCTGACACAGAGCAGCCCCTGGAGTGGCCCTTCTCCCCTTTAGGGGCCCCAGCACGAGTCAGGGCTTCAGACCCCACATCTAGGAATCGGCAGAGAAAGCACAGGGGCTAGGCTGGGTCCCAGGCCTGGCAGGGCAGCCGTGACCCATCTGTGCTGCTCTGGGCTGTCAGCAGGTGAGGCACTGGTGTCCCCTCTCTGGGCCCTCCCTGCCCTCTGCTTCTCTGTGTCCTCTGACTGCCCACACCCAGCTCCTGCCCAGGTGGGGCCTGAGCTGGAGTTCCTACCGGGGACAGGGCAGCTGTGCTCACCGTGCGGCCGGGCCTGCTCCCAGGAGAGCTGGCTGGTGGATCCCTGTGCGCCGGGGCTGGGCTGGGCGGAGCTGCTCTGGGTCCTCGTCCAGGAGGCCTGGCCCCTGGGCTCTCCCTGCTTTATATGGCCCGTGGTGCGCCTGCCTCGGTGCCTGCCTCGGTGCCTGCCTCAGTGCCGGTGCCATCAGCTTGCCTCGCATTCCTAACCCTGGGATTCCATTGGGGACGCCGGTGGTGAAGGGGGGCGGTGCTGACAGCATGAATAAAAAGACCCAACAGACAGGATGTGGTCTGATGAGAGGGCAGGCGGGCTGCCCTTTGGAGGAGAGGAGACAGCATCATTAACTGCAAATTACCGGCTCAGACCCTCGAGTTCCTGGGCGGGGTTCCATGCCCACCCTTCATCACCCCCAGGGTCCTGCCTCTGTTGGGTCAGCACCTCACTCTGAAGAGGACATGGGGCGGTGGACGTCAGCCCCGACATACCTGCTACACGGCTAGCAGGATGTCTCTTGGGCAGGAAAGTCACAGAAACCCATGAGACCCGTGGTTCAGAGGCATGGGGCTGCGAGGCTAAGGCAGGTGCACCTCCTGGCAGGTGGAGCCCTCCGAGGCCTGTTCTCCAGGAGCCAACCAAGGGGGCACGACAGATGCCCAGGGCAGCAGTGGAGCATTGACCTGTGGCCCCCAGCCCCTCCCATCCCATGCCCTGGGTGGCCCCACCCTGTCACTGAGGATCACCTCTGGGAGGCCGGTTAGAGGACCCAGCCTGTGCTGGGATTCTCCCTCCACTGAGAACGGGCAGGTGCGTGATGAGGCAGCCCCACCCCCACTGTCAGGAACTGAGCACAGAGGACCTCCCCGAGTCCAGCGGCCCCACCTGGCTGACATAACCCTGCACCTGGCATCTTGGGGACAGGTCAGAAGTCATGGGAATAGAAAGCCTGTGGACACTTCCCCAGCAACCTGAGGACGGCACTGGAATCTCTCTTCAGGCTGAGCACCCAGGTGAGGGCGGAGGGTCTGTGGATCGAAGCCCATGCCTGCGCTGTGCTGGCCAGAACTGGCTTCCACCCCCAAAGCTGGGGCTGCCTCTGATGGCCTGAGGAGCCCCCATCGTAGGTGTGTACGTGTGTGTGTGTGCTCATGAGACAAGGTGTGGTGTCCTTCTGTCTCCCTGGTCAGTGCTGGTTGACTCTGACAGTGGATGCTGGGGTGCCGCCCACGGTGGGTCCCTGGCACGCTGAGAGCCTGGGCCAATGCCTGCTCTCTCTGTGTCTCAGCGCCCTGCAGTGTAAAATGAGGTTTGGCTTCCCGAGCTCTGCTTCGCAGGATTTCTTGGGAATGGCCATGGAATTTGGGGAGGGCAATGTTGGGTCCAACCCTGCAGGCACTCCTCTACCCCACAGACACCCCCTGCCCCACAGGCATCCCTCTGCCCTGCAGGCACCCCTCTGCCCCACACGCACCCCTCTGCCCCACATGCACCCCTCTGCTCCACAGGCCAAGCCCCAACTTCTTCTGTTTGAATGCTGGGCTCCCAGAAAAGATTCTGCTTTGACCCAGCGTCCTCTTTCAGGACTGAGGTCTGATGCTCTGAGAGGGGCCACAGAAAGTTCCGCATGTGGGGGGCTAGTCTGGGGCAGGAGCAATATCGAGGTGAGAATGAGGGGTCCCCACATGGCCCACATGTTCCCCAGCTTAAGGTCCCTGCCTGCCCTACTCAGACTGGGGTGCCTGGAGCCCAGTCAGGCGTTGGATTTGGCACCAAACCTGCCAACTGTTCCGGTTCCCCTCCCCGACTCCCCCCCCCCGACTCCACCCCTCCCCCACTCCCCCACCTCCACTCCCCCTCTCCGACATCCACCCCCTCCCCTCCACCCTGGGAACTCCCCGATGGAAAAATTGCTTGCAAATGTCCTTCCTGGGCTCCTGAAAGTATCTGGGTTCCCCCATCTCTTGAGCAATTGGGGGGTGACAACTGTGACACTGTTTCTGCCACCACCAACCGAGGTGAGCAGGGTCCAGGCTGCCGGGCAGCACAGGGTGTCTGGGGCAAGATCAGCCCCAGGGTGGCAGTACCCATGGTGCGGCTCCCGGCTCCTGCGCTGGAGGCTTTTGGTGCTGTCGGGTAAATGCAGGGGGACGAGGAAAGGTGGGGATGGGGCTGGTGGTGCAGGAAGCCGCTCTGGGGGTGGAGTCAGTGGGCCACTCTCGAAGCCTATGGGGTTTCCTGCGAAGCTGCCCTGATACAGGTCCAGGCCAGGTCCCAGCATGGCCAAGCTGACCAGCAGCCCCTACCCGGGATTCTCAAAGCGAGGAGGCTGGGACTGAGGTGACAATGCCTAGCTGTGCTATGCCCTGGCACTGGCCCGGCTCGCAGACCCCTCCCTCCCAGCCCCCTTTGGCCACGTGTCACCCCCAAACTGGGTTCCGTGTCCAGCTGAGCCACAGCCAGCCTCCACCTGACTGACCTTCCGATTCTCTGCCTGGCTGTGGACGACAGCAGTGCCTGTGTCGTGGAGTGGGGTTGTCGGGTGGCACTGTGTGCGCTCAGGCGATGTTCACTGCTGCTGCTGGGGAGAGCTCGGGGTGGCGGCCCCCATCTAGGCCCAGGTCTCCAGGGCTGCTAGCGGTCCCCTGCCTGCCCAGGGAAGCTGCTTCCCATGCTGCTGGGCGGTTTCTGGCGTAAATTCGACCCTTGTTTGAGGACCTCTGTGACTGAGTCCCTGAACCTTTCCAGGAGGCTGGTCTGGTGGTGGCACACCTGCACCTGGGGTGGGTGTGGCCCATGGGGAGGCAGGTGGCCATGATCTGTGACTCCTGTGCCCTGGGTCAGGAGTCCCATCCCCAGGCATCTTCACTTCTGTCCCCCCCACCTCTGCCCCTCCTCTCCTCCTCCACCTCTGCCCCTCCCTCCTCTCCTCCCACCTCTGCCCCTCCCTTCTCTCCCCCTCCACCTCTAACCCCCACCTCTGCCCCTCCCTCGTCTCCCCCTCCACCTATGCCCCTCCCTCCTCTCCCCCCACCTCTGCCCCTCCCTCCTCTCCCTCCACCTCTGCCCCCCCTCCTCTCCCCCTCCACCTCTGCCACTCCCTCCTCTCCCCCTCCACCTCTGTCCCTCCCTCTCCTCCCCCCCACCTCTGCCCCTCCCTCCTCTCCCCCTCCACCTCTACCTCCCACCTCTGTCCCTCCCTCCTCTCTCCCCCACCTCTGTCCCTCCCTCCTCTCCCCCCCACCTCTGTCCCTCCCTCCTCTCCCCCCCACCTCTGTCCCTCCCTCCTCTCTCCCCCACCTCTGTCCCTCCCTCTCCTCCCCCCCACCTCTGTCCCTCCCTCCTCTCCCCCCACCTCTGTCCCTCCCTCCTCTCCCCCCCACCTCTGTCCCTCCCTCCTCTCTCCCCCACCTCTGTCCCTCCCTCTCCTCCCCCCCACCTCTGTCCCTCCCTCCTCTCCCCCCACCTCTGTCCCTCCCTCCTCTCCCCCCCACCTCTGTCCCTCCCTCCTCTCCCCCCACCTCTGTCCCTCCCTCCTCTCCCGCTCCACCTCTGCCCCTCCCTCCTCTCCCCCTCCGCCTCTACCCCCCACCTCTGCCCCTCCCTCTTCTACTCTTCCTTCTTCTACCCCTACCTCTGTCTTCCTCGACCCCCTGCATCTGCCCTCCCACCTCTGACCCTCACTTCTGCTCCTCCCTCCTCTGCACCCCCTACCTCTGCCCCCTAAAGCCGTCAGAGCAGCAGGCACTATGCTGGCTGAGTGAAAGTCGCAGTAGAAGGAAGACTGTGAACCTGGACCTGGAAACCTCCAGCCGCAGGGTGGGTGTGAGACCCCCCGGCTGCCCGCTCCCCACAGGTGAGGGGCAGAGGCGAAGCACAGGGCGGTGCCACTGCTGCTCTTTCTAGTGGCCCTGTGCGGCACCTCCAACACAGGCATTCGATAAATATTGGATTTTACTAAATAAACTCAGGGGATTGTTTTATCCATAAACCTCAAATTGGTTTTATGAATAAATAGCCACTGGGGACTGTTTGTTCTTAATAAAGCGTTTCAGTTCCTTGGAACTCCAGCCTCAGCCACAGGAGGGACCCACGGGACAGTTTGTCACCCCAGGGACCCAGGAAAGATGCGGAGGCGGAGTAGGCCCTGGGCTCATCCTCCAAAACTCAGCCCCCCGGGGGCACCAGGCCCGGCCCCAGTGGGCGCAGCTTGTGCGGGAGGCAGGCCCCGAGTCTGAGTGACCAGGCCATCTTGCAAAGCCCAGAGCTGGCCCAGTCAGAGGGTCCTGAGCAGCCCCAGTGGGTCCAAAGCTTTCTGGGAAATGCCTTTCGACTGCCTTAATAAAAATGGTGGCTGGGTGTGGTGGCTCACGCCTGCAATCCCAGCAATTTGGGAGGCCGAGGCGGAAGGGTGGCTTGAACCCAGGAGTTCAAAACCAGCCTGGGCAACAGAGCAAGACTCCGTCTCTACAGAAAGTTAAAAAAATTGCTGGGTGTGGTAGTGCTGGAGCATAGTCTCAGCCACTCAGGAGGCTGAGGTGGGAGGACTGCTTAAGCCTAGGAGTTGAAGGCTGCAGTGGGCCATGATGGTGCCACTGCACTCCAGCCTGGGTGACAGAATGAGACCGACTCGAAAAATAGTGATGGGGGGAGTTCAGGGAGACAGAGTGAGAGGTGGTCCTGGAACACGTGGGTGTCTGACCCACGCAAACTCTGACATGAGGCGTGGAGTCGGGCCGGAGGCTGGGTCACCACGAGACTTTATTCAAGACAGAATGCACAGACACCAAGTGCCCACAGCCTGGCCTAGTGACACTCCCATACCAGGCTTCCTCCGCCAGCTGCTGTGCTGGCCCCCCGAGCTCCTTCCGCAGCCCTGGTACCCCCACGCCCCAGCCGGCACTGTGTGGCTCAACTCAGACATAGCTGTCAGCGCAGGGGGGACCAGCATGGCCAGCCTTGGGCCAGAGCTCCCTGCCCCCACGCCTCCCAAATCCCACCGAGGCCCGACCTCAGCCCTCTGGGTTTGCCAAGTCCTGCCGGCTGCTCCCCGGGCCACACAGTTTGGGGACACACTTGTCTCTGAAAGCAGATGAGAAATGGAGGCCCTAGGAAGGCCGGTCCGCGAGACCAAAGCTTACTGTCCCGTCTCCTTGTTCTTTCTGGGTTCGGTGTGTCCCCTGCTGGATCCTCCTGCAGATGCATTGCTCCTGAAGTCACAGGACAGGGGTCTGGCGCTGGCCACGAGGCTTCTTCTTGTCCCCTGTCCCCCATCTCACACAAACGGCAACTTCCCTCTTCCTTCTCCTGCCTGGAGCCAGCATCCTCGTGGTTCAAGATGGTTCAAGAATCCTCCAAATCTCTGCCTGCTCAGACACGCCCCTGGGTGAGAGGGCCTCCGGAGACCCTGGCTCCCAGCTTCCAGGGCGCTGGCCCCAGCCAGGCCAGCCAGAGTCCTGTGTGGATGAGGACCGGTGGCAGGAAGGGTAAGGGGACCAGGAGGAGGTGGGCACTGGCAATACAACTTCTGTCCCAAAGACAAGTATCACAAAACCACTTTAGTTGCAGCTGCTCTGTTCTTATCTCCAGCTGAATGTGCTGAGGTCGCCACCATGGAGACCAAGGGTCCTCCCATCCTCTGGACCCAGGAGCTCAGGCAGCCAGCTGGGTGGCCTTTGGTGTAACTCTCCAAGATGTGTGCAGTTTAGGAGAATGGAGGAAGGCCACTGGCTGATCCGTAGACCCTACCGTGCATGTGGAGGGGCGACACACAGGTGCACCGCCTCCAGGTCCCTGTGTGGCCACGCAGAGACCCCTCCCACTCAGCTTAGTCTCAAGCAGAGAAGCAGGAAGAGGTTCGGTCAGGCGGCCTTGTGGGATGGAGGGCCATGGCCATTCACCCTCAAATCGGGCCCGGGGGGACAGGGTTTGGGTCCTGTGGGTCCCCAGCGATCCTGTGCACAGGCTACCCTTGGCCTGGTCACTCAGCCCTCAGGTCCCGAGCTGTTCCTGGCCCAGGGCTCTCCCGGCATCCCCATCCTTCCATCTCCAGCCATTGGCACTGGTATCAGACTGCAGGCTCTGCAGGGCTAGGGCGAGAGGCTGTGGCCCAGAGCAGGTGTGCACGGACCGTTTTTCCCCAGTGCCAGCCTTTGAAGATGCCCCTGGGGAGGGTTAGGCCGGAGCACTGGCCTGGGCTCTACCATGCCAGGCTGTGCCCCTTCAGCCGGTGCTTGGTGGGGCTGCATGCTCTCACCTGGCCTGGGACGGGGGCTGGTACTGGAACCGGGCAGTAATGGGGCTCTAGAAGGGACAGATGTCTACAGTACAGCCAGCCACGGAAGACAGATGCTGCCCGGGTCTGGACCACAGGGTCCCAAAACCACCTCCACCTGCCCCCCAACCCCTTGCCAGGCTCCAGCCGGGGTGTGTCTGTTCCGAAGCCAAGGCCTGGCTCAAGGGCCCCAGCGCCTCCTGCTGCGCCCGCACAGCTGCGAGTCCATTAACTTCACACTCACCGGGAGTTTGATGACACATCAGAAAGCGCTTGGCACTTTCTAAGCAGCACCTGGCACGGGGAGGCTGGTAGCTCCCGCCTGGGACCTGTCGGTGGGGGGCTCCCAGGATGAGACTCAGGTCCCACCCAGCCCCTGTGATGTGACAAGGTGCCCTGGCAGCCCAGGCGGTCTGGGTGGGCTCCCTTGGCTTCTAGAGGGTGGGGAGAGGAACAGAGGGAGGACTTCCCTTGGAATCTCCTGCGGTAATTTTGCCCGAATCTTGCCCCTCCCGGCCCTGCACCTGCGCTGCTCTGTCTACCACCCTGGCCACACTGGGCTGCTGTCGCCTGATTCTTGGCTGCACCTGCAGAGGGCAGGGATCAGGTCCTGTCCAGCACACAGGGCAGGCTGGGCCCATGAGAGGGGACCGCTGCAGACATTTGTGCATGCGGGTGACCCGGTGGTGCCGGAATGCACGGCCGGGTCACACGGCCTCTCCCGCCGCCCCCCTAGTGGTGCCAAGTCAGATTTATTGTTTTTTTAAGCACAAACTTCAGAGGGAGGGGAAGGAAGAACGGAACCCCACACCTCCCAGGCACCTGCCATCGGATGTCCTTTGGAGGAAGCCACCTCCCCTCCTGCCCGAGGAGGGGCTGCTGGGAAGATTCCCCCAGGCTGACTCCGGACCTCTCCAGGCCTTGGAAAACCTGCCCTTCGCCTGACGAAGTGCACATGGGTCCGGGGCTGCTGAGCAGACAGCAGAGGACGGGGCTCCGGCCCTCTGCCCTTGCAGCTGCTGGTCCTGGGAGTATGCGGGTCTCACCTCTGTGTGCGCACACAAGAAGCAGGGGTGACAGCGTGCTGGGAGGATTCAATAAGAAACTGACCAGGTGGTGCCTCGCCTGGTGCCCGAGTCCCCCCCTCCCCGTCCCATTTGCTGGGTGAGGCCAACCCTACCCCTTGACCACTTGCTGGGCCTGGGTCCAGGTGGCAGTGGCCACAGTCACTGGCGGGGGTTGGCCTCCTCCCCATGGAGACAGTGTGGCCTCAGGGAGGGGGATCATTGCCCCCAAGGCCCTCCCTTGAGTCCCTGGGAAATTGGGGGTGGGGGTGGCACAAGCCCCATCCCAGCCCTGCCTTGCCCCCCAGTGCAGAAAACCAAGAGCTCCCACTGGCACAGCCCAGCACCATGTGCAGACCCCGCCTACCTTCCAGAGGCAGGGAAAATGGGATGGGGCTCGCTGCCCAGGGTAGGAGGACAGCTGAGAGCTGGGTTGGGCCTCATTTGAGACAGATAGCAGCTGATGGGTACAGCAGCTAAGGGGACTGAAGACCCCAGGCCTGCAGGGGCAAAGGGTGGGTGGCCCCCAGGGAACTGGCCTTAGCCTTGGGGCGTGGATCCCTGCCCACAGCAGCTCCCCCGCCTGGCCTCAGGGTATGGTGGGTTGTGGCCACAGCCAGGTTGGGGCCCTTGGGGGAGAGGTGGGTTCTCCAGGCACTAGGGAAATGGGGGTGGGGTTGGCATCAGGAGGGCTGGAGGACACTGGCCTCAGACCTGACCTCGGAGAGGCCTGACATTCCTTCGCGATCTGCTAGGAGGGCTCCAGGGGTGCTGTCTGCCCTCTGCTCTCTGTCCCCGTAATGCCCAGTGTTTGGATGGGCAGAGCGGAGGGCTGCCTGGGGCATCTGCTGGAGTCAGGGCGTGGGGCAGACTCCACCATCCTGGCCTGGGGACAGCAGACAGCGCAGGAGCCACAGTGGGGAAAAGTAGGAGTTGGGGTCCTCAAATTTCTCAGTCCCATCAGCAGAGGCAAGAGACCAGTTAGCTGCCGAATGGAGCAGGTGGGGCCGTGAGGTGACGTGTGACTTCACCCGCCCAGGGGGCTTCGTGTCAGGGACAGCCCGGCCCCTCCCTCCTGGAGATTGAGTCCACCAGGCACAGGTGGGTGGAGAACGTTCACGAAGGAGTGAGGTGGGGACGGGGATGGGGCGATGGGGAACCAGCAGGGCCAAGGAAAAGGTGCACCGGTCTAGCGGTCCTCCCGGACCGGCCGGATCTTCATCTCGGAGAACTTGAGTGAGTACTGCCAGCCGGTCCAGGAGGACCACTCCACGCCGTCGGCATAGGAGGCATGCGCCCCTCGCAGGTACTGCCCGTTGAGGTTGGACGTGTGGCAGTTGCGGTACCACCAGGCGCCGCGGTAGAAGGCAGCGCAGTTGTTCTCTGAGTGGTCACTGTCACGGTCCTTCGTGGTGAACCTCATGCCGCTGTGCTTCAGAAGGGAGTCACCTGCGCAGGGGTTCACACGCGTGTGGGCATGGGCACGTCCTCGGGTCCACCACGTGTGAGCAGACACCGCGACACTGCACATGAACCTGGACGTGAGTGCATACACGTGCGCACGCGCTCTCACACACACTGGTGTGCACACGTGCACACACCTGCCCCTCCACACGTGGGTGCATCCAAGCCTCGAACGCACGAAGCCCCCCTCCTCAGGCATGCCTGGGGCTGCCCCTGGGTCTAGGTGGTCTCCATCCCTTCCTTGGCTTTTCCACTCTCTCCTCTGCTGCCTCCCCTTCCTCTGCCCGAGAGGGGAAACCCAGCCCGGGGTGGTCCAGCCACACTTTAGAGACCCAGCGGACCCAAACCCTGGGTCTCCTGATTCCTGGCTCTGGGCTCAGTTTCTTCACCTGCAAAGTGGGAAAACAGTCCGGGCTCTGCTGGCTTCGCCTTGCAGGGAGGGGTGAGGACCAAGTAGGACTTGGAGGGGGAAGCAAGTAGCCTTGACCCTGATCCCAGAGGGCCGAAGGGTGTCACCGGCTAGGACGTCCTCCGTCTTTCGTCCTCCCAGGCCGCCCCGCTTTCCCATCCCTGCCGCAGCTGGAGCCTCACCTGCAGTGCCGGAATAGTCAGCCACGGTGAGCGGGTACCCGTCTTCCTCAGGGTCTACAGAGAACAAGCCCACACCGAAGCTCCCATAGCGGGCGTAGGCTGTGCCATTGTCAAAGTCCTCCAGGTCCACGTGCAGCTCGTAGGCGGCCTGCGTGGTCAGGGCGTGGATCCTCTTGAGCCCTGAAGTCAGGGAGAAAATGGTGGAAGAGGCTGAGGGGCATCGGAAGCCACTCCTCAGGGGCAAATGACGAATGACAGCCGAGCTCATGCAGTTGGTGGCAGAAGGCGACAACCACCAAACGCGGGCTCTCGGCCCCTGGGCTGCTTCCTTCTTCCTGCAGGCCTGTGCTCAGCAAGCCCTTGAGGACAGACAGCTTTTTCACGTTTGGTTTTCTCTGTTCTCTTTATGTGGAGCTGTGATGCTGTCCAAACGCTGGGGCTCTGAGCTGGCGGGAAGACTGCAGGAGGCAGGAGGAGGTGCGGGTGACAGCACCCCTCACCTGGACTCCAGCCAGACTCCAGCCAGAGCCAGATACGATCCGGGATCTGGTGTTTGTGTTGTCCTAAACCTGGCCTCTGGACCTTTGCACATGCCGTTCCCTCCGCCAGGGATGCTTGTCCCTACTCTTCCTCGCTTGGTTACCTTCTGTTCGTTTCAGGAAGGCTGCCAGACCTCCCGTCGGTGTTGAGGACCTCCTCTGCCAACCCATGTGCCCTGTCAGTATTTATCTTTCAGGGTCCTGGCTGCCTGTCTTGTCAGTTTCTCCACCAGTGTGGAAGCCCCATGTGAGCCGTGTGTCCAACCTAGCCACCGCTGACCCCAGCGCCAGGGGTGGGGCCCAACAGAAGGGTGCTCTCCCAGCGCTAGCTTAGTGGATGGGAGGCAGGGGGCGGCACCCTCATCTCTGTTGCCCCGGGGGCCGGCTCTGTGCCCCCATTCCACTCTCTCCCTCCTACTGTCCCGCCCCAGCTCAGCTCTGTCCTGCCCATCCCCGGGGTCTCACGCCAGGCCTCCCCCACCACACACACACATGCGCTCAGACACTCAAAGTGCTTCCCTGCTGGTGTGATTACCTCTTGATTAAGAGGCATTTAATGAAATGATTTACAACAGGCGTCCCCAAACTACAGCTCGCCCGCGGGCCGCATGCGGCCCCCTGAGGCCATTTATCCGGCACCCCGCCGCACTTCAGGAAGGGGCATCTTTTTCATTGGTGGTCAGTGAGAGGAGCACAGTATGTGGCGGCCCTCCAACACATGGCTCAGCTCTCGCAGGGCTGATGTGAGGAGCCAGGCTGGTCTGAGGGACAGTGAACTGGCCCCCTGTGTAAAAAGTTTGGGGACGCCTGATTACAAGTTAGCAGTAGCAAGAGACCTTCTATCCACTTCTCCCTCCTGCCTGCCTCTCCCCAGCTCCACGCCTCCCTGCCCGCCCGGGGTCCCGCGTGGGGTCTCTGTGTGCCAGCTGGAGGCTGCGGGGATCCTCCCCCATCCCGCCCGCCTGGACAGAAGCCTTTGGTCCCAACCACCAGGCCCAGGGACCCGAGAAGCCACTGTAGAGGGGTCCCAGCAAAGCTGACCCATAAGCCTCGTTCTTCCCCAAGGACCTACCAGGGCACAGAGGGTCTCGCCCCTGTCCCCACTTCCCTCCCTGCCTCTCTGCTGCTCCCACAGTGAAGCTGGAGTTGCTCTCGGGCTCTGGGACCCAACCTGGCTCAGCTCTCGCAGGGCTGATGTGAGGAGCCAGGAGAGCGTCACACACGAAAGGGCAGAAGGAAGGGAATCATGACAACAGCCGCCACCTGGACGCACTCACGGGGGCGAGCACCGCTCTCAGCACCTTGCGCAGATGAGCGGATCCAGTGGAATTAGAGTGAGTCCAATTTAACTACAGAATCCCTGGGCAGCTCTTCTGGCAGGGCGGCCCGTGCACACTTGATCCAGGTGCTGATGCTGCTTCCCGAGGCCCCGGGGAAGGAGCGCCTATTACCCCGTTTTATAGAGGAGGAAAATGAGGCCCAGGGAGGTTAAGGAACTGGCCTGGGTCACGCAGCTGGTGAGTGGCATTGCCGGGATGTGAACCCAGGCAGAAGGGCCCGGGCGCCTTGCTGCTATCCAGACCTGACTCGGAACAAATCAGATGATTCAGGAACAGGATGAGAGGGAGACCGTCCCGTTGGGATGCTGGAAGATTCCTTTTCCCACCACTAAATGGCCGCTGTCACCCAAAGGCCACCATGAGCCACTCCTCTGGGTTGAGTGACACTTCATGGTGTTCTGCGGGCTGCTATGCAGGATGCCCGAGGGAGGGGCAGGTGAGGACCCGGGGCCTGGGCTCCTCTCCGCCTTTCTTCCAGTCCATGCCGCCTCCTCCCTCCCTCCCCTCCCTGCCTTTGCTCTCTGGCTTTCTCCAGCTCTCCCAGCTCTCCCCAGCCTTCCAGGACCGCCCCCAGCCACGTAAGCTGTTCTTCCCAGATTCCCTGGGCCCCTGGACGGTGACCCAAGATCCAACTCCTTCACCAGCTTAAATCGCAGAGAGCAAGAGATAGGGCTGACGGCTTGAAACAGACAGGAAACCACTAAGACCCTAAACCTCACATGGCCGTCCCAGTGGACTTCCGGCTGGACTAAAGCTCTCAACCTAAAACAATACTAGAAAAGCAGAAGAAAAAGCCGGGCGAGGTGGCTCATGCCTGTATTCTCAGCACTTTGGGAGGCCGAGGCGGGCAGATCACAAAGTCAGGAGTTCAAGACCCGCCTGGCCAATATGGTGAAACCCTGTCTCTACTAAAAATACAAAAATTACCCGGGCATGGTGGCAAGCACCTGTAACCCCAGCTACTCAGGAGGCTGAGGCAGGAGAATCACTTGAACGTGGGAGGCAGAGGTTGCAGTGAGCTGAAATCACATCACAGCACGCCAGCCTAGGTGACAAAGCAAGAGTCTGTCTCAAAAAAAGAAAAAGGAAAACAGAAGAAAAAATACAGGAGACTTAAAAAAAAAAAAAATGAAACTGGGAAGGAATGGAAACCAGGGGCTAAAACACAGAAAGACAGGAAGAAAATCGTGGCACAACTGACTGCATGGACATCTTAAATTTCTAGGAAATAATATAACCCCCCAAAAAAGAAAAAACTAAAGAAAAATGGCCAGGAGTTAATACCTGTCATGTGTATTGGACAAATGATCGATAGCCTTAATATATAAAGAGCTCTCATGACTCAATAGGAAAAGACAAAGCACTCGGTGGAGGGGATGGGGAGGGTGGCTCGGCAGAGGAGGGGCCGGTGCCTTTGACATTCCTGTCAGGGCTCATCTGCAGGACGCTGGAATCAGGGCCTGCTTAAATGCTTCCTCGAGCACCGTCTGCGGCTGCTGATAGATTTCAATTAAGATACCACGAGCACGGGCACCATCGCTTCTCCAGGGGGTGGGTGGTGGCGCGGGCATGCCCCGGCCCTGCTGCCTTGTCCTTATCCTTACCCCCACCTGGAGCGGCTGGAGGGGCCTCAGGCAGGGTCTCCCCATCTCCCCTCCTTCCATCCACCAGGTTCAGGGGATGGGGCGAGCTTGGTGGGGCACCAGCGTGTGGACCCTGCTGGGGCTCCCCACACCCCAACACACGCACATTAGTGACCAGGAACCTCCCTTTCCTGAGCCTCAATTTCCTCATCTCTAAAAGGAGGGAATGACAGCAGGGCCCCCACTTAGGTGGGCAGTCGGTCCATGGGAAACATGTAGCGGGGCTCTCAGTGGGTAGGTGGTCAGCGTGGGGTGTGGGCATGAAGTCCACTCGGGGTGTGACCTTCCCTGCTGTCGGCATCCCTCAGGTAACAGGGCTCAGCAGGCAGGTGGGAGAGGGCCCTGCCCTTGTGGGCCTCGGGTGAGGAGGGGGCATACGTGGGTGGCGGGTCTTGCCAGGGGCCTCTGTACACAGAGGAGCGGCCCTGCCTCGCCGCCCCAACCCTGCCTTTGGGGCCCCTGCCCCCATCTCCCAGAGGTGTCACTGAATGTCCTCACAGGCCTGGGGCCCTCGTGACCCCGGCTGGTGTCCAGACTCCACTCTCAGCCTCAGGTGGTGCTTCCCACCAGCCACACCGGCCCACACGTTTCTCACCCTCTTCCTTCCTGCCCACGGCCCCCTCAGCTCTGCCCTGCACAGGGGAGCTCCGTCCTCGTCCATCTCACCCTCTCCCTCCCACCCAAGGCCCCCCTCAGCTCTGCCCCGGACTGGGGGACTCCATGGATGTCCGCACCCCGGGGGCGTAAGTGCAGGAGCACACCAAGGGGTATGCGAGGCCACCCAGATGACACCAGGGCACATGGCCCCCAGCGCCTTTGTGTTCCACGTATATTCAAAACATTCAAGGGAGTGATGTCCCGGGGCACAGGGTTTCTTTCTGGAGTGAAGAACATGCTCTGGACCTAGTGGTGATGGTTGCACAACGCGGAATATACTAAAAACCACGGGGTCACGTGCTTCCAAATGGGGCACTTTGCCTAAGTAAATCATGTCTCAAGAACAACCAGAAAAACACGCCTGACTTCAGGCCACAGCCACCTCCCAAATATGTAAGTAGACAGGACCTCAAACCCGTGATTCTTTTAAGATATTTTGTTAAGATAAATGATATTTTGTGTTGACAAATGAAGTTCTGTTTAGAATATTTTGTTTAGATAGTAAAATTTTAAGGAAATTTCAAAAATTTCAAATACTCAGTGAAGGCCCAGCCCCATGGCTCACCCCTGTAATCCCCGCACTTTGGGAGGCGGAGGCGGGTGGATCACCTGAGGTTGGGAGTTCGAGACCAACTTGACCAACATGGCGAAATCTCTACCAAAAATTAGCCAGGCATGGTGGCACATGCTTGCAATCCCAGCTACTCGGGAGGTTGAGGCAGGAGAATCGCTTGAACCCAGGAGGCGGAGGTTGCAGTGAGCAGAGATCACGCACGCCATTGCACTCCAGCCTGGGCAACAAGAGCAAAAACTCCGTCTCAAAAAAAAAAAAATATGGAGTGAATTTGAAGGTAATTAATAATGCTGGCAGAGCCTTCTGAGCTCCTACTCCATGCCAGGTAGGGGCAGTGTCCAGCAGTAGGAAGGCGTGGGGGTGCCACAGGCCCAAGCAGGAACCCTGGCTGGGAGCACCACTGGCCGCTCCTGGGAGTTACATGCTGGGTGTCCCTGGCACCCTAGGGTAGGGTGGTGCCGAGGCCTACTCTGGCCTCCCTGGGCCTGGCACTGGGCCTGGCATGCTGACAACCATCTGCCCAAGCTCGCCTGACTCAGGACAACCAGCAGATCCCGGTGACCCCGGCAGGAACCGGCCTCCAAGGGTGTGTGGGACCCTCCACCTCCGCCTTTATGAGCCATGTACGTAGAGCCCCCCCCATGCCAATCACTTTCCTTGGCACTGTCTGGCCTCATTCCTTCTGAGTGCCTGTCACTTTCATGCGGGACACCTGTGAGCTGGCTCAGGCATGCTGAGGCCAGGGAAACCCAGCCCAAACCCATCCAGGGAACAGCTGGGACCCAGCTGTGTCTGGAAGGCGTGAGGCAGAGGCCTACCAGGGCCGGGGTGGGGCTCACCTAGCCAGTGCTCCCCGGTGAGCCTGCCGAAGCCTTCTCGGTATGCATCCCAGCCCCGGAAGAAGTTCACAGAGCCATCCTCCCGGCGCTGAAACACCTGCAAAGGAAGATGGGGATGGAGCGTTGGCCCTGACCATCCCAGGACTCACAGCCCAAGTGAGCCCATCCCACCCGGAGACTCCCCTCACCCTGCTCTCGACCAGCCCCTCGGGAGGGCAGGGGCCTGGCCTCCCACTTCCCGCCACAGCCCCTGGCCTAGAACACAGCAGGGGCTCCAGAGCTCAAGGTGGGATTGACCAAATGGCCACAGGTCCCCGAAACGGCTCCGCAGGAAGGAATTCCAGGCCAGGCGCAGTGGCTCACACCTGGAATCCCAGCACTTTGGGAGGCTGAGGCAGGAGCATTGCTTGAGCACAAGACTTCAAGACAATATAATGGGACCCATCTCTATAAAAATTTTTTAAAAAGACGCCGGGTGTGGTGCCGGGCACTTATAATCCCAGCTACTTGAGAGGTTGAGGCTGGAGGATCCCTTGAGCCCCGGAGGCTGAGGCTGCAGTGAGCTATGATCACGCCACTGTACTCCAGCCTGCACGACAGAGCAAGAGTCTCTTAAAAAAAAAGGGGGGGCTGTGGGCCGGGCACGGTGGCTCACACCTATAATCCCAGCACTGGGAGGCCGAGGCGAGTGGATCACGAGGTCAAGAGATCGAGACCATCCTGGTCAATATGGTGAAACCCCGTCTCTACTAAAAATACAAAAATTAGCTGGGCATGGTGGCGTACGCCTGTAGTCCCAGCTACTCGGGAGGCTGAGGCAAGAGAATTGCTTGAACCCAGGAGGCGGAGGTTGCGGTGAGCCGAGATCGTGCCATTGCACTCCAGCCTGGGTAACAAGAATGGAAGTCCGTCTCAAAAAAAAAAAAAAAATGGGAGTGTGTGGGCCGGGCACAGTGGCTCACGCCTATAATCCCAACACTTTGGGAGGCCGAGGCTGGTGGATCACCTAAGGTCAGGAGTTCAAGACCAGCTAGCCAACATGGGGAAACCCTATCTCTACTAAAAGTACAAAAATTATCCAGGCTTGGTGGTGCGCACCTCTAACCCCAGCTACTCAGGAGGCTGAGGCAGAATTGCTTGAACCCGAGTGGCGGAGGTTGCAGTGAGCTGAGACCGTGCCACTGCACTCCAGCCTGCGTGACAGAGCAAAACTCTGTCTCAAAAAAAAGAGGGATTTCGGTGGGGTGGGGTGGGGTACGGGAAAGCCGGCTTTGGGGTCCGCCTCCGGCACTCTGCTCTGGGCTCCAGTTTCCCCAGTGGCCAAATAAAGTGGGGAGTGGGGGGGACAGGGTCCTAATATCTTTTTCCAGGTCAAAACAAAACTGAACAAAAGCCTAGCCTCCAGTTTTTGAGGACCAAGAGCACCCCCCACACACCCGAGGCTTGGCCTCAAGAGCCCTTTCCCTTAACAAGCTCCCCTTCCTCAAAACAAGCCTGGGCGGGGGTCGGGGTGCTGGGAAACTGGAGTCCAAGCGGCCACTCAGGGAAGGACAAGGCACCCACAGCTGGTGGGATGTGACTTGGGTACCAACGAGCCGCCGGGCTGCCTCTGGTCTTCATTTTAATAACATTCTTGATTTGGGAGTCGGGAATCCCATCGGTTAAATTGCTTTGAAATAAGTACCACGCTGGTCCAGGCCAGAGCTGCCTGGAGTATTTACAGGATCTGCTGACAATCCGTCCCGGCTGGCCTCCCCGGCCCTCTCAGCCCTCCCAGCCCCTCTTTCTGTTTAACAAGCCTTTTCCTGCTTATTCTCCGAGGCAGCTCCCGCGGCCCGGCCAGCCTCCATCTGTGTCAGAGTCTGATGTGGTGCCAGTGAGCTGCCAGTTTCATAACGAAGCGGCCCGATTTCAGTCGCTCGGAACTGCCCGGGTGCCCAGTCTGACCCGAGGCGTCTGCCGGGTGAGCGTTTGCCGATGCTCGGAGCCCCCGGGGACCTGTCCCTCACGGTGTTTGGGCAGCTCTGACGTCAGGGAGCCGGAAGGAGATGACACCTCCTTTTTCGTGCTCTGCTGCCTCAAACCTGGCCAGACTCTGAAATCTGAAAGTCCTCAGGAGTGACCGGCTTGGGGCGGAAGGAAATTCGATCAGGCTTGGGGAGATCTGAGGAGTGGTGGAGAGCCGTATTGATGGCTGCATATTGGGACCCTGAGCACGCACCCTTTCAAAGGCCTAATCCTGGCAGAAGCTCAGGTGCTCCCCCGAGAAATCGGCGGGCAGTGGGAGCCTGTTTCTGCAGGAGGAGGGGAGCTGGAGGGACCTTCGGGCCCCGAAGCCCCCTGGGATGCCTGACTGGCACTGGCTGTTGGCTGGGCCTCCGCCCTGGGTATTGGGACCTGGGCATGCTCAGTGCTGAAGAAGTTCCATGCCAGGCAGGGGAGCCCTGTGCTTGCGATCTGGGTTTCAGAGCCCCCCACTTTGCCTCAGAGAGCCCTGACGAGTCCCCCCTCCTCTCCAGGCCATAGCACACACATCTGCAAAGCAGAGATCATAGCCATCCACTGAGAATAAGTTCAGGGCTGGCACATAGTAGGTGTTCAGCAAATGCCAGCTGCATGGTGAGCCACAGCACTGAGGCCCAGGCCTGGGTGAGGGCTCCTGCCTCCCCACTCCTCTCTCGGACTCCGGCCTCACTCTCCCCCAACCTCTCACCCGCTGCCGAGGCCCCTGTCCGAGCCTCTCTTTCCCATAGATGTTCCACCGAGCATCTCTCACCAGGCACCAGCTGGGGAGGCCAAGTCAGAGGGTACCAGGTCACACTCCTGCCCTCAGGGGCCTTAGGGCAAAGGAACACAGGTCAAGCCCGTGCTCAGGGGACCCGAACTGGGCAAGAAGCAGGACTGACTTGGGGGTGGGGAGAGAGCAGGTGTGCCCAGCAGGGTGGTCCCGGAAGAGGGGCAGGAAATGCAGGGAATCGAGGCTGAAGTGGGGGTGGTGGGGGCAGTGGGGGTAGGTGGGGGTGGTGAGGGTGGTGGGGGCGGTGGGGGTAGCGGGGGTGGTGGTGGGGGCAGTAGGGGTGGTGGGGGTAGGTGGGGATGGTGGGGGTGGTGTGGATGGTGGTGGTGGTGGAGGTGGTGGGGGTGGTGGGGTTAGATGGGGGTGGTGGGGGTATTGGGGGTGGTGAGGGTAGTGGGGAGACTCCAGCAGCCAGTGGCTGTGCCCAACCAGGGCTGTGTGCGGGCAGGCGGGCTGACGGACAGGTGCCCCGCTGGGTCTCTTCCAAAAGGCTCAGAGGGAACATCCTGAATGAGAGCAAGAAGCCCCGTAGTCCAGACCACAGCCTCGGAGGGGGTCCCCCAGGCTCTGCCTCCAGCGCTCACTCCCACCACTGAGATGCCTGGAACCCACGATGCCATCCACGGAACTCAACCAGCCCCCAGCCCTGCCTTGACTCTTCAGGATGCGGTGGAGGGCTGCTCACACTGAGCATCCTGGCCGAGGGGATGATGGGCAGTCCAGTCCCGGGGGGTGGGCTACGTCCTCTCTGCACGCCCATGTCACTTCCCAAACCCTTTCCCCAAGCCCGGACGCCCCTCACCCTGTTACAGGCTGAAGCTGGGACACTGGTCACAGGTTCTGCTGCTCACAGCAGCAGAAAGCGGGAGTCTGACTACATCTTGGGCCTTCAACTCCACAACAGTCTGGACCGACCCTTGCTACCAGCGCTTGCAGGCAGATGTGCTGCCCCGGGTCCACACTCTCGCTTGGCGGCGGGTCCACTGAGCAGGGTGGATGCAGCCTTCAGTTGCCCCCTACCCAGGCCTTTTGTGCCAAGAGCTGGTCCCTGCACAGTCCCTGACCCTCTTTCCCACAGCCCTCCCACTCTGGGTGCCAGTTACAGTGACCCCACCATCCCCCCGGGGCTCCTCCTTGGTGCCAATCAATTGGGGTGAGTATACCTGGCCTCCTGACTTTGCCTCTGTCCAAAAAAGGACACTGAAATCATACATGGCCGGAGCTCCTGTCCACGTAGTCCGAATCAACGCCCATTTAGGAACTGCAGCAACTGCCAGGTGCCTCACACCTGTAATCCCAGCACTTCGGGAGGCCGAGGCGGGCAGATCACCGGAGGTTAGGAGTTCAAGACCAGCCTGGCCAACACGGTGAAACCCTTTGTCTATGAAAAATACAAAAATTAGCTCTGGGTGGTGGCAGGCACCTGAAATCCCAGCTACTCAGGAGGCTGAGGTAGGCAAATTGCTTGAACCCAGGAGGCGGAGGTTTCAGTGAGCCGAGATCCTGCCACTGCACTCCAGCCTGGCGACATAGTAAGACTGTCTCAAAAAACAAAAATTAGCCAGGCGTGTTGGCGGGCCCCTGTAATCCCAGCTACTCGGGAAGCTGAGGCAGGAGAATGTCTTGAACTTAGGAGGCGGAGGTTGCAGTGAGCCGAGATTGTGCCACTACACTCCAGTCTGGGTGACAAGAGTGAGACTCCGGCTTAAAAAAAAAAAAAAAAAAAAAAAAAACTGCACAAGCTGGCGGCCAGCATGGGCACTTTTACATGGGCGGTGATAGATTTCCGCCCCTCCCTTAGGGGCCAAGACGTGTCTGTGGTCTGGCCTTGGAGAAGTGACCTGCAGACTGACGTCACCACACAAGCACACACATCTGCATCTCAGCAGAAGCTTCCAGACTCCAGACTTCGCTTTATGCAGAAGGATGTGCGCTAATACTTTCATTCTTGTTCTACTCCACTCTATTTGATTGAAAAAATAACGTTGATCAAACCCATTTAGTTGACTTTGCCAGTGGCCGGCGGAGTACTGCGTGAAGTTTGGGAACTGCTGACAGCCTGTGCCACGGGCTGTCCTGGCTTACTGGTTCAAACCCCGAGTGGCCGCCCGTGCCAGGCCCTGTGCTAGGATCTCAGGCTTGGAAACCCTGCCCCAACCTCGAGCCAATGACGGCCCAGTGTGGCCTGACTGGTGCAAGTGCCCAGGGTGGCCCGGATGGTCAGGTGGGTTCCCCAGCTTTCCCCAAGTGGGGAATGTTTAGTCTGACTCTGAGCGCAGGGTGAACTGCAGCTGTGGCTT